AATACTTAAGATCTTTGCGCAATCAGTTTCTTTGTTGAATCAATGAGATGAAACATTGAACTCTAATAAAAAATTATGAGCTAACCTGGGAAAAATCATTAAAGGCATGTTTTTACATCTCAAAACTTGAGAATTTTTGTGGGATTGTAAAAAAAATGTACTTATACAAGTGAATTGTTAAGAAAATTAAGGGGAGATTATTCAAACATTATAATTAACTTATAAAAGTTTTTTTTTTTTACTTCTTCAAGTAAATAAAGGTTACTTGTACAAGTAGTACCCCTGACTGACATAATGTACTGTTCAAATTACAAACTAAGTGTTTTGCTCTATTATACCATTAACCAGTTTCAATTATAATTTTTCAATTTGAGGTGCTAAGTTTTGTATTTTATCTATGAATTCTGTCTTTCACTGAAAATCTCTTGATTATCAAAATTTTTAACTTTGCACATTATTTGGCCTTATAAACTTCTTTTATTCAACATGTTCAAGAGTTACTTATGAGTCTTTACAGACGAAATTCCTGTCTGACCTAAAAACAAAAAAAAAATCAGGGTATTTGTCATTTATGTGTTAATGGCTTGATTTACTAAGGTCTAGGTAGGGGTTTTGTATATCTTTATTCTTCATATATTAGATTGTTTTTCTTTAATCTTTTGTTAATTTTGTCCATTTATCTCTATTCTTTATATTTAAGCACCTATTATTCTCTAATATTTATTTTGTTTGCCTACTTTTGCCTATTTATTTTTTATACCTTAATTCTGCATATTTTGCCTGTTATTCTCTTTTTTGTAAACCCTCATCCATGTCAAAAATATTTTCAAGTGGTACACATGTATGCAAAATTCTTGAGTTTTAAATTGTAGGCAATTATCAACTCATGAAATTCAGAAACAAATACTTAATACTTCACATTTAAATCAACAACAAGAATGTGTCCATAGTACACAAATGCCCCACTGGCACTATCATTTTAAATGTTCAGTGGACCATGAAATTGGGGTAAAAACTGTAATTTGGCATTAAAATAAGATAGATCATATTATATAGGGAACATGTGAACTAAGTTTCAACTTCATCAAAAACTACCTTGACCAAAAACTTAAACCTGAAGCTGGACAGATATCATCATTAATGGATGGAGGAACGGACGCATAGACCGAAAAGCATAATGCCCAAAGGTGGGACATAAAACATAGGCAAATATCCTTAGGTGACAGATTATTAAATTTATCACTAATGCATATATATCATGTATATCAATCTAAAAGTTTTTAATTGATCTATTAGAATTTTTTAAAATTATAAAACATGTTGAATTTCTGTATGTGTGTGGTATGCAGTGGCAGATCCAGAATTTTAAAAAGGGGCCCACTGACTGCCTAAAAGGGGGGCCTGCTCAAATCATGCTTCAGTGATTCCCTAAATAATTAACCAAATTTTTTTCAATAAAGGGGGGCGCCGGGCCCCCTAGCCCAACCCCCTTAATACTCCTCTGGTATGGATATAAAATAAAACTTTACACAAAACAGAAAAGATAACAATTATTGGCATTAAGTATGAAATACTTACAATAAACTTTTCAAATTCTCTCCCTGTATGTCATTGTGAACATCTAATACTGTGTATTCTAATCCTTAATTCTTATGGTTTCACTTTACTCCCATTATACTTTATTATGTCCATTGAATCAATGTGGTGAGTATATATATGTATAACATTTACTTGTGTTTTTATGTTTAAGCAAAATACACACCAGTAAATATGGCCTGTTTTTATCCAAAGATCTAGGAAGACATAAAATGAATTTCTCTTTTATCTCATTGGCTACTATGGATTCATATTGATGTCATGACCTGATTACTTGGGCATCATAAAATGACTTTTATTTTGTGTAGAGGAATATAAAATGTTGAAATTCATCATGAATACACTACTCTCAGTCTCTTATTTTTATTACTATTTTTATTACTATTGTTTGTGTGAAGAACCATGCAGTGGAGGAAAACAGTTCAAAGAAGAAAAAGGCAAGTTAAATTAATTTCTCTTTGAAGTTTAGATACAGTAATCATGGTAATATAACATAAAAAGATTATGTCAACGATTCTCTTTCAAATATTTCTTTAAAAGTTCAACAACAGTGGTTATGAAATTTACACATATCATTCCCTAATTAATGCATATAATGACTGTATACATATGAAATTCTGTCTTGAAATAACTGGTTCAGGACAGTTTGAAGTGAAACACTTTTATGAATATTTTGTCACATATACATGTTTATATATATATATATGTGTACCTTAACTAGATGAAAATAAATGATCTTATGTATGTTTTTTTAATAGTTCTTTACTAATTTCTGATTTTTTTTTAATTGTATATGTTAGTAGCACTAATTATATATACATGTATAAGTAAAATTAGGTATTAAGCTTAAATCCTATGCAATAAGCTAGCACCTAGGCATTCGGTTATTGACGGCAATTTTCAGGCATTAGGCTTATTTCCTGAAATCTGCAATGATTATTCAACCTATTGCCAAAAATCATTTCAGGCAAGAAATGAGCTTTAGGATATTTGCTTCATCTTTAAATGACTAGGACTCTCGCGAGCCTGTGTCGCTCACCTTGGTCTAAGTGTAAAACCATTCATACGGGAAAACCAACGGTCTAATCTATATAAAAAAAAAACCGAGAAACGAGAAACACTTATGAACCACATCAACAAAGACAACTACTGAACATCAAATTCCTGTCTAAGGACAGGTGCAAACAATTGCAGCGGGTTTAAGACCATCTATCACGTGTGTGTACCAAATACTTTATTCATTGATCCATCTTATTTTATTTCATGTGTTGAGTTAAATTTTTTAGTTATATGTAGGAGCATATAGTAAAATTGTTTCTTTTTTGTATATAAGTGGGAGGTTTTGCTAGCTATACAACCAGGTGTGACCATTTTGCCTGTACCAAGTCAGGAATATGGCAGTGGTTTTTCACTTGTTCCTTTGATTGATAGCGTTTGATTTTGTCAGTTTTTATGGACTTCCTTTTTTGAATTTGCCTTGGAATTCGGTATTTTTTGTGACTATTACATCTGTTTCAAAAATTACTCAATAGTTATTTGTTAGCAGTAATATATCGTTTTTCCCATCGTATGAAGTTTACATATCTTAATTGATACGTTATATTCGTGCATGTTAACACTATACGGATTTCTTTAGCGGGGGTGTGCTCCTTACACATAAACTCTTCCAACATAGTTATGAGGAAAAACAATTGCAATCGACACTATATCAATTTCACGGTAATAGAATTACATTACATAGATATAAGAAGATCTCTCCATCCAAGTCAAAATTTATAAAAGTAAACCATTATAGGTCAAAGTACGGTCTTCAACACGGAGCCTTGGCTCAAACAGAACAGCAAGCTATAAAGGGCCCCAAAAATTATTAGTGTAAAACCATTCAAACGGGAAAACCAAAGGTCTAATCTATATAAAAAACGAGAAACGAGAAACACTTATGAACTACATAAACAAACGACAACTACTGAACATGCATGTTTCATTAGAATCCGATTTCAATTGACCAACAACAATCGCGAGGCACTTCAATGTCATATTTCATTTCCGTATAATTACATTAGATGTATGTTTCATTATTATACGTTATTTTGATTGGCTAACAGCAATCTCGCGTCATTCTTCATTTCAAAATTAGTTGCATGAATTGAAACATACATGATGACACACGTTTCCACAAAAAAGTGCACAGGTAAATAAAAGAAAAACTTGATAGTACTCGTGTTTTCATGATTATAACGAAAAAATGTAATTATAAGTATTGAATGCTTCTTACAAAAAGTACTTTGGTCAACGCTTTTACACCCCAATGAATTTACAAAAAGAAGCATTCAATTCTTAAATAAAATACAACAGCTATGTCTGCACGTGCTGTCAGTGATATTGGTAAAAATAATGCACTGAAAAACAAACGAAAAGCTTGATATAACACTTAATTTCATGGTTGTAGCATAAAAATGTATTTATAAGAATTGAATGCTTCTGCGCTTCATTCAAATTGTGCTTCGGCAAGTGCTTTTACGCCCCAATAAGATTGAAAAAAAGCATTTTTAATTATAATTATACCCCAGAGTTAGTTATCTCAGTCTATATTAACCTTACAACCATCCAACTATTCTAAAAATAACAGGTAAACAAATAATAGCTTATCATAATTCGATGTTGAACAAAGGGTCAAAATTAATTTACCGGTTGCGTCACATATCATTTTGGAGTCCTCTTCGCGGTCCGCAAAAAACTAGAAACAAATATGATATGCACATACAAATGACAACCACTGAATTACAGTCTCCTGACTTGGGACAGGCATATACATAATGTGACGCAGTTAAACATTTTTGCGGATGTTCATTTATCCCCTAACCATGGATAGTGGTGTAACAGTACAACATAAGAATAACCTGTCGAAACAAAGCACTGATTACAGATAACAAAAAAACTTCAGACACAAAGTACTTGCAGTAACTAAAAACTATGTCAAAACAATATATCAATCAGTACACGCTAGTGAGGTTATTGTAAAACAGAATCAGTCCGGAAAAAAACACGACCTTTTATTATCCTTTAACAAAAATCCAGAAGCAATTATATATATATGTTTGTGCTGTATTTAGACCCCTCTAACAGGAAATTTTTTTTGAATGCACGCGTATAAAAATTGCGGTTTTTATCCAACGCAATCATAGGTTTGAACGTTGTTTTCATTTGAGACTTGGTTGTATATATATGACAATGTCAGTTTCCGAGAATACCATCCGCTCTACAGAGCCGAAGGTACTCTCGGGGACTAATTAATAGACAACCAGAGAGGGTATAGACCCTGCGAGAATAAAAAGCAAAGGGTAAAATTTTCGTGTCAACAACACGTATTTCTAGAATCATATGATTAAGGACTGACATCAACGAACATTTATTCATTTATTGGTGAATAAAAAATTAAATTGTTGCATGGTGATATGTCTATACTTTTAGTTTCTAAAGATGCTGGTCGGCCCAACCATTCAAAGCGTTGAATGCATCAGTCTGTTGCTTTTCGTTCATTCCGAATGTCTGAAGAAAATTTTTACACTTTTCTCTGTCCATATCAAGTACTAAGCAATGACCCAAAAGCTGTTGTGCCTAAAATCATAGAAAGTATTACATTTTACAGAATTGTCTAAGCATAAATGAATACCAATAAACTAGAAAAAAATGTCTGTTTTTTTATTAGAGGAATTAAAACAAGATTACGAGTCTGAAGAACAAAAAAAATTACTTGATGTTTCTTAGTGAATAAACAAACATAAAAAACAACAGCATTCTTAACAAATAAAATATGATACCAGACAAGATAATTTCATGCTATCACTTTTAGTCAGCATTTTTTTTTTGCATTGCTTTTATATATATTAGGTAGAGACAAGTTATAGATATTTCATATCTTTTGAATAGTTTTGTGGTGTTTCGTAAATTATACCATAGCTTTTGTTGAAACCCCGGCAATAACCTCACGAGACGAAGTCGAGTGAGGTTGCCGAGGGGTTTCAACAAAAAACTGTGGTATAATAAATAATTAATTTACGAAACACCACAAAACTAACCAAAATATATGAAATATCTGTTTTAACCTATTGCATATGTTGTTGTTTAAAAATGTGTATTTCATATATTTTTGTTTATTAACTTCAAAAATAATTTTGATAAGAATCGGTCAAATTACCCTTTAACGACCTTACACATTAAGCTCCGCCTACTTTCTAAAATACGCACGGGCTTCTGAAACAGCGGGAAAATCAGTTGGACAAGATTTTTCGACAGCGATGGATGCACATCAACTTTGGTGACAGGTAACGTTACAGACTAAAAACTGTTGAAGGAATTATATGTTCTGCATATGGATTCAAGATATAGTTTGAAAGATTTCTGGAACCCAGATTTAAAGTTGAACTGCAAAGGGTCAGTTTTTATTTTCATTTTATCAAAATATTTGAAATGTTTTTAAGTTTTTAGTATTAATTTATAATTCTGTGGAAATTTAAATCACAAGAATCTTTCTGAGAGTTTTGATGAATCATTCCATGTTTTAATTTGTACCAGAAGCCCAAGTTGTACATTTAATCTAATTTAATTAAAAAGGATTTCAAAATGATCACGTTTAAAGATCATAAAAAATCACATGTAGACTATAGATCATAATTTAAACAAAAAGTTCACCTTTGTTTAGAGTAACCAGACGCTTTCTATTCTTAACGGCCCAACATTACAGTTATTACTTTAGCAAGTCGTTAAATTAAGATGTATATAATATCGGATACGGATCCAGGATTTTGAAAAGGAGGGGGGGGGGGGGTCTAGCCATCCAACATTTGGAGTAATAATACGAAATATCTATGCAATTACCATATATAAAGCTTCTTGAAAGGGGCATGCCTTCCCCCTCCCTCCCCCTTAAAAAAGCCGCCACGGCAAATTTCAACCTTTACATGTAGCTATACAGTTGAGCCTAAGGGACTACAATCCAAGTATAGATAGCTATGGTATAATTTTCGGTTATTGAGATTTATACTCTTGTTGCATTCCCATAGGTTACATTGTACAGCTATAGGTTAAAACATAGTCATAGCCAGAAATTAGTAGTACTTTTGCTAAGTAATATTCATAATATGTAAATGAGAATTGTACCACGTGATAATAGTTTGAACTGGACTGGCTTGATATCATTAAAATCTTTAAAACACGGATATTATAAGTTGCCCGTCACAGAGTCCTTGTTTATAATCACTCTGATATTTCCGTAAAGTTGTCAGGCGGTCAAACTCAAAACAATGAACGCGAACTTGGTGAATTTTTCGTGTTTTCGTGAGTTTATTCTTCTTGAAATAGGGGCATCTTAACTTTACGTGGGAACCTAGAGGTCAACGACTACACATACAAGGTTTGGACTTGTTTATTCTTTGGACATTCAAGTTTCAAGTTTCATTCCCGCAACCTGTTTTTGTAATGACCTTGTTAGCCAAAATGAATTTTCAACACGAAGTTTGCAAATTTGACGTTTCAGCCATTTTAGCCTGTATTTTATACTGCAATGTTAAAAGCCTCTCGCTTCGATTTTTAAAATAGCTCAGGAACCTTGATTTTTGCAACGACAGTCATTATGTTTCGTTTAAAGGTGTATATTGTATTGTATATTGATTTTCTGTTCCCGCAACCTGTCTATCACTTAAATTAAAGTTAAAACAGACATTTTTTTTTCAAAATTCCCCATCATTTCAATATAATTTCCGTGACCCGTATCCGATTTCTTTAGTATAATATTCAAATAAGCAAAGTGGCGTTGATTTCTGGATATGTTATGCTTACTTTAGTAATTTCCTTTTTACCGAGTCTTTCTTTAGATTTATCACCGATTCCTGGCACTTCTCCTACTCCAATACCTTTTATAGATCTACCGACAAAAGTTGTATGTTTTGCCGATGGTGTCGCCATTGTCGTGGGGATATTGAAGATCTGACTAATCTGTAAGTTAAAGAAAATATATACTAAATATTAGCAGATGGATAAAACTCATTCTAGATTATTTATCTGTGGAACGATAACTTTAAATTCCTCGAGGAGAATGTTGCTTTTCGTGACAATAATCAAGTGCCGTATTATGGTATAAATTTTACGTTATAAATTCGTTCAAATACAAACGTTTATAGTATAACGTTACCTTTACGTGAGTACAACATTACAAATGTGACGAGATAATCATAACGTTCAACCAACGTTATTAGAACATACAAAAATAACGTTAATTAAAGATAGGTTACTAAATAACGTTTACTTTTAACGTTTTTCCTAATGTTATCTTAACGTTACACGTAAACGTAACGTAAATATAACGTAGCCATAACGTTATGTTTACGTTGTGTGTTTGCGGGGGGAGAGTTGTCGTTACTGAAATAAATTAGTATCTTATATAAATGTCCCTGACAGAATACAGTGCACAGTGATATGTAGACAAGCGTTCGTAATATTAATATATTCAGAACTCATGGATGAGGATCTGGATGGGGTTTTAAAAAAAAATCGAGAATAATGGGCAAAATGTGCAGAATGAAAAGCACACAAAATAAAATATGGAAAACAATAGGGAAAAAAAAAAGAATAGAAAATTATGGGGTGCTAAAATATAAAAAATAGAGAATAATGGGCACAAAATTTAAAGAATAAAGAGAAAAATGACCTAAAGGATTAAAGAGTACAGAAATGAAGGACCCCCACCCAGACCCTCATGGAAAGTGTGAATTTCCTTTTTTTCGCATGCACTTTAAACAGGTGTTTGAACTGTTATCAGTAACTTTCCATCGCTTCATAATAAGAATAACACAATTAAGGAAGATAAATTTCAAATGTCCTTTTAAAACATGTTGAACAGGATGTTTTTCTCTTTACTTTTAAATTATTTTATATGTACAAGTGTTTTTAGGTCTCCCCATATAAAATATAGGTGAAGCATATATGTCTTGGCAGTAAAATGTATCTGTCATAATTATATTGCCTAAAATAAACATAAGTAGATGTGGTACAATTGCTAAATAGACAACTATCCTGAAAGACTAATGTGTGGTCCAAGTGTGTTAACAACTACCGGTCACCATACATTTTTCTACAATGAACAACATAAGATATACAGCTTTAAAATCGATGAAAATTACTTACGTGCATGCGCAAGTTCTATAAGTAAATTACAGTTTGACTTACCTTTTGGGTACTTAATTTTGTATTGATGATCTTTCAAATCGAAAGTACTATATGATAAAATACGACAGTTCCGGTAGTTATCTACCTGTAGGATGTGAGGTCACATCCGTATTTATCAACTTTCATCATTTAAACCCAGTTGCGTCAAGGCAAGGTACATAATTGAGCATGGATATAACCAAATAACACTCATGCGTGTATTACATGTATTACACATTAAACATGTTAAGTAGACTGATAAGCGATAACACATACATATTAAATGACTTTCTAATTTTAAACATTTTTAATCAATATTCAAATAATTTTACCGTACGATGATATTCTCCTAAATGGAGGCTTAGCAGTTTTTCTAATTCTTTTTATATCTTTTTTAATGGCAAATCTATAAATAAATATGCAATACAGGAATCTGGGTTGAATTAAAATATTAGTAAGTACTTGCTACATATACAAGAGAGGGTCGACGATCTGGAGGGGGGAGGTGTCCTTTGTTTCTTTTTTTTTAATTATATTTTAGACAATTTACCAGTCTATTCTTTATTTATTTTGCGCATTATTCTCTATTCTTAACATTTCAGCATCCCATTTTTCTCTATTTTGTTTTGTTTTTGGCAATTTATTTCTATTCTTTATTTTAAAGCCAATTATTCTTCTCTTTTTTGCCTATTATTCTCTAGTCTGCAAACTCCATCCAGACACTCGATCAACTATAAAAACTAAACAGGAAGTGAGTAAAACAGTCGACTATATCAGATCCACACGACGTCACTCTAGTAGTACATTTATATTTTAAAATAAGGAAGTTTTTTCTTTCTTCTAAAGCATGCGACGCCTCGTTTTACCGTTTATCATTTTTTGTTTGTTTATAAAATGCGACGATAGCTTATATATATGTATGTTTTGAGAGGACCAACAAAAGCTGAACATTTTATACTTACTATACTTACTAAACATGCTAAAGGGGATCAAGAAAAAGGATGAAAAATCATATATAACAGCGTCCATATTTATACTTGATAGGTTATCATCATTAATAAAATTCATCGGCTTAGTGCTATACTTTTTGCTAGAATTAACAGGATCGTTAGCAAGTAAAAGTTTTTGAAAATAAAACAAATAAATGTTTAAAATCATCGCAAGAAGCGCGAGAGATGGACATTTTACCCAAAGATTTTAATGGTCAAGATTTAAGATAATTAATCCGACGCTTCATGTCGGCAAATGCTAAAATATTTTATGTTTAAGATAATTTTTTGTAAATCTTAATATTGCAATCTAAAAAAGAAATATCAGATTAGAAATTACATGCATATTACTTACTGAAACTGTGCTTATTACACAAATATATTTTTAAAAAGAATGCTTATCTCCTGGTATAATATACTGTGCGGAACATCTGCTGATGGAAGTGTGTGTTGGCATACTGTTGTCCTGTTCTTACAAATGCATATCCTTGGTGATTACCTAAGTTAAGGATGGTCGCTCCTCTGTTTCAAAATAAAAAGCTTTTTAAAAGATTGTTATAGATTGATAGTATAATTATATAACATGTATAAATAACGGAACTTAAAAAGAAGAAAAAATGAAAGGTCGTGTCTTTGATTTTGAGATATAATCAATTTAGAATTTGGCGGGAAATGATTTTCTCTGGACTTTTCATCCATTTAACATGGTCACCTTTTTTCTTTCAAAACCTATGAAAATATAACAAGGATTTTATAAGGTTTTCAAATAGCTTTTTAAACTATTAGCGGGCAAAATTTTGAATGGCACTAAATGGATAAAACTAGAGGATTCTTAATATCTAACAAAAAGGGGGGAAAACAAGAGAAGCGAACACCTTTAATTTCTTTTTTTAGTTTAGTAGAAATAAAAGATGTCAATTATTTTACCTCAATGGAAATAAAACTCGACGATACAAAAAATCAAAGACATGAATAGATTAAAGTATGGTCATATACGAAAGGCAGGTATTTTAACTAATCATCAAGTTATATTTTATGCTATATTTAATTTACTGTCAGTTCCTGAATGAAATCATACGGCGAAACCTTCCTGTTTTGCAATTCGATCGAGTCTTTTTTATAAACTCATCCAGTTAAAAGTTATGATAATAGCTTATACAAAGATGTGTAAGACTTGTGTTCAGAATCGTCATTTTGCATTCAACAGGTACTAATCGTAAGTATTTACTACTTATAGTATTAATAGAAGCAAAGTTAGATAAGCAAACAATAGTCGACTATATACAGAAAGCTTAGTTAGTATAAGAGGGGGTGGGGGCAAAATCTATTCTGTGTTTTGGGCATTTTTAAACTTTTATTAACTGTTATTTCGAAAATGTATGTCCTGTTAACTGTTTTTAACTAATAATCTGCTATTTATTTTCTTAAAATTGACATTAATTATTGTTAACTGTTATTATGAAAAAGAAATGACCCCTGTTAACTGTTTTTGATTTTTGATTTAAGTGTTTTCTGTTTTCTCACTTAAGATCATTCAAATTGCTGTTATCGTTTATCAGTATTTTTTTTACTGTTATCTGCTTTGAACAAAATAAAAAAAATGTTAACCTGTTAATGGACCCCCTCTTATAAGATTAAGTTCATGTCATTTCAATTGTAGATGTGAACACAACGTTTCGACAATTGGGAACTGCGACACCATATGGTTGCAATGACAAATTAAAATTGATGGTATAGATATTCTATCTAGTCCTTCCTGTAGCTCGGTGAATGTGATGAATATTTTCAACTCTACTCCTCGACGTAGACGCAGTCATGGTCATCGTCATTATACATCACCTACTTTGCATGATGTCTCTATTAATGACTTGCTGCCATTTATACAAAAGCCGTTAGGTATTCATCACATTCGCACGAAACTGTATTCATTACCCCTTTTAAAACTTCATTCTCTGTTCAATTTATGTTTGGAAACCACTGTTACAAACCCTCATTCAAACCAATACAAACTTACAGCTATCATTTCGGATATTGCAAGTCACAGACTTTTTAAACCAGTTCGCATTGGAAAAGATGAAAAAGAGAAAAGATCTTTTCTTAAACTTTCCTTTGCCAACAGAGGTCTCGATGGCGTCAACTTAGGCGATATCCTTCATCATAAATTAGTTCAGTCGAAAATACCTCATTATTTTAAAGATCAGTCTGTACCAATAATTTCTTATACCTATACCAAACCAATTGCAACTAAAATTTTCAATTACAAACACGTTTTGCAGGATCTCAACATTGACGACATCAAGTCTAAACCTCCTGATTGCACCTGTGCTAGTTCCCAATTCACATATATTCCGGCTGGCCACGTTATTACCGGAGACCTCAACATTGTCAATAACACTTCCCTGCGATATTTGTTATCGAAAGGTCCGAAATATCGTGAGCCTAAATCCATCAATTGGAAATACAACTTCAAAATTCAGTCGAGGATTATGCCAGGCAATGGGTTAAACGCGAGAAAGAAGACGTAGATACTCTTTCCGAATGGATTAAGGCTGTGAGGTCGTTGATACAAATCCGAATTAAGAAACTAAATGGGCATATCAATACCCACGCTACATCAATTTTTAAAGACGCAAATGTTGCAAAACACTTGTCCTACCTCAATGACAAATATGTTGTTGTCCCCGCAGATAAAGCCTCAAACAACATCGTTTTTGTGTGTAAATATCATTACATAAACTGCTTGATAAATGAATTAGGTATTGACAATTCACTTGGAAACTCAACATATACCCTCACGACACTTACCAAAGAGGAAATCCTAGATAATCATAGGTCTGTTCTATGTTCCTTTGGAATTTCAACTAAAGATGAAGAACTGGATCTTCCATCACTGTATTGGATACCTAAACTACATAAGTGTCCTTACAAACAACGGTATATTGCTGGGTCTTCCAAGTGCTCCACGAAACCTCTTTCTAAATTATTAACATCTATTTTATCAGCAATCAAAGCCGGGCTCCAAAGTTATTGTGAAACTGCCTATTCTAGAGGTGGCGTGAATCAGATGTGGATACTAAAAAATTCCAAAGATCTTTTAGAGTACATACAATCTATGACTGTCTCATCTTGCAATAGTATTAAAACATTTGACTTTTCTACACTTTACACAAGTATTCCCCATTCCAAACTAAAAGACAAATTGAAAGAGTTGGTATTACTTTGTTTCATTAAAAAGAATGGCGAACGTAGATACAAGTATCTTGTCTTGGGGAAGGATAAATCCTACTTTGTAAAGAATCACTCTGATTCAAACAAAAAATTCTCTGAAACTGACATTATCAAGATTCTTGATTTCTTGATTGACAACTTATTTGTTACGTTTGGAGGACGTGTTTTTCAACAGACTGTGGGAATTCCAATGGGAACCAATTGTGCCCCTCTTCTTGCCGACTTGTTTCTTTATTATTATGAGGCTGACTTCATACAGGAACTTCTTAGGAAGAAAGATAAGAAGTTAGCAATATCCTTTAACTCTACGTTCCGCTATATAGTGATGTTCTCGCACTAAATAATACAATATTGGTGACTATGTTGAACGAATCTATCCCACCGAACTAGAGATAAAGGATACTACAGATACAGTTAAGTCTGCCTCATATCTTGACTTACATCTAGAAATTGATAATGAGGGTCGGTTGAAAACCAAACTTTGCGACAAAAGAGATGATTTCAGCTTCCGAATTGTTAAATTTCTATTTCTATGTAGCAACATTCCAGCAGCGCCTGCATACGGAGTATATATCTCCCAATTGATACGATATTCCCGAGCTTGTATTTCCTATCATGATTTCCTTGATAGAGGATTGCTGCTTACAAGGAAGCTATTAAGCCAAGAGTTCCAAATGATGAAGTTGAAATCATCCCTTCGTAAATTTTACGGACGCCATCACGAGTTGGTTGACCGTTATGGAATAACCGTTTCACAGATGATATCGGATATGTTCCTTATGTCGTAACTACAATACCCTTCCCTTTTCACGAATGTGACTTACTGAATTAGACTATTTACCGGATTGGTAATAACATAAGCAACACGACGGGTGCCACATGTGGAGCAGGATCTGCTTACCCTTCCTGAGATCACCCCCAGTTTTTGGTGGGGTTCGTGTTGCTTAGTCTTTAGTTTTCTATGTTGTGTCATCTGTACTATTATTTGTCTGTTTGTCTTTTTATTTTTGGCCATGGCGTTGTCAGTTTGTTTTCGATCTATGAATTTGACTGTCCCTCTGGTATCTTTCTTCCCTCTTTTATACGATTCATCTATACTTCCGCTTTCGTATAAAAATAAGAAGATGTGGTATAATTGCCAATGAGACAACATTTCATAGACTATTTCAGGTCACCATACGACCTTCAATAATGAACAAAACCCATATCGTATAGAGTCTATCAAAGGCCGCTGCACGAAAAAAATTAAACAATTCGAAAGACAAAACCAAAGGTCAGACCAATACCGGAAACAATAAACAAAATATCACAGACAGCAACCAAAAACAATAATTCGATACAAGGTTCTTGACTGGGACTGGCAAATAAAAAATCGTAGCTGTGTTGAACTATTTTATGAGCGCTCAACCATACTCTTAACAGTGATTTAATACAATAAAATTAGAACAAACTGTAGGCCACATTCTATATGTACATGTCTAAAGTCTGTAAGCCGCAATTCAGTGGTTGTTATTCACATTTTGTACATCTGGTCTTTGTCAATCATACACTTCGCCTTATCTTTATAACAAAAAGAGAAAATTCATAACATATCCATATACTTGTAGCTACATAAAGTTCACGGTAGTTAAACATCGGCATTTACCTTAGGAAATCAATTCGTAACAGCAAAATTCAGAAAACCCATGTACACATATGTTAAATATTGATATACCGATAGTATCAGTTAACAAGAAGCTTTCGATGGTACCAGTAACAAAGAAACCACCACTTCTGTAGGGTGTTATCGAATTTGATACAAAATCAATTTTGAGTAGAAAATGTATGTTGTAAATACTGATTTATGTTTTAGAGTTCGGTATAATATCTGATGCATATTAGTGCAATCTTTTTTAATGTTGCTTGTGAAATATTCTAAGTAAAAAAGTGAAAATGTGGTAACATCATATTTTTAGAAGGGGCCTCGTAGGCTGAGTGGTCTAAGTAACCAAACTACAGCATCACTATGCTGTCGACACTGAGGTTGTGAGTTCGAACCATGTACTAGGCTGGTGCGCTCCAATATTAATTGACTCGGGTTGTCAGTTTTCACAACGAAGGTCGGTGGTTCTCTCCGAGCACTCCGGATTCTTCCACCAATAAAAACTGACCGCCAAGAAATAGCACAATAGTGCTGAAAGTGGTGTTAAACACCAATCAATCAGTCAAGCAATCATATTAATTTTGTAAAGGGTCAATCTTAGTAATATGCTTATAATATGACGTTTTAATACTTACAAATATTTTTTTTGAAACGTCAGATAACGTGATAATATGCTGCAAAGACGATGTTTTAAAATTTACAACCTTATTTATTAACGGGTTTTCATGTGGAATCGTTTTTGGCACCGGTGTTGCATTGCAAGCATGTGCTAACAAATAATTTTATATATCATTTTTTTTCAATAAGAATTTTACTTTAATCTTTCAGCTGCCGCACCCAGGCCCCCTGCTTACAATTTGTTTCCCAGTGGCTATGCCACTGTCGGCATGTTCTGTTCATTTCTATTATAGAAAACCCTTCCTTCAATGGAACACTTCGCAAAATGTCGAATAAAAAGTTTTTAAAACCTAAAAAGACATACTAGGTACGCCTCGTGGGATATTGTAGTGTATGTACTGTATAATTTTTTCCACAATGTAGTTACTCACCATAATCAAATAAAAAGTATTTCTAACTTCGTATTAAAGAGTATTTGTCATGATTATGTACACTATTAGGTCAATGTCAGAAAAATATAAAAAATTTTGTATGAGGTAAAGAAACTGGTGAAGGGCGACGCATAATGAGTCCTTTAACAGTTTCATGCCGAATACAAAAAAGTTGACGCTTTTCTAACATTGACCTAAAATTGTTTTTATACTGCAGCTCATAGAAGTAGGCCCGGAAAGACCCCTTTTTGTTCCCAAAATATACCATTTTTACAATTTTGGCTTTTAGCTATTTATTGTAAAGTAAAATACTTGTGTTACATAAACATAGACTGTTTTCTACAATGCAATGCACATGCATCAGGTACTAGCATCATTAATTCATGCAAAATTACTGAAATCTTCACAATTTTAGCATTTGTGCTAATTTTAGACGGTTTTTGTCTAAAATGGAAGTGACCGCTCTTGTGTTCAGTCTTAATATTTAAATATATGTTGTATTTGATAATAATGCATAACATATATAAAGGTTGAGACTGAACACGAATGCGGCCACTTCCATTTTAGACAAAAACAATCTGAAAAGTGACGTTTTATGGCATATTTGATAGATTTTTCATATCTAAGCTTGAAATTGAGCGTCTTTAAGGACCAAATCAGTTGAAATCTTGTATATAAATTAATTGAATTGACTGAAGTAGACATTTAAGTGTTTTCAAAATGTCAAAAATCTTTCGTTAGACATACTTTAAATCTTAGGCCAAAATTAGTCCTTACCGGATCTCCTCCTTTGCTACAATAATATTTATGAAAATGTTAACACAAAAATAAAAAATTATTTAACTTCCCCAAACGAACCTCAGATTGTGAAAAGTAGTGGCGTGACATGAAATTGATATTGCACGAAATGATCCCTTTGTTACTATATTTAGTAGATTGAGGCGTGACACGAAATTGACATTCCACGACATGATCCCTTTGTTACTATATTAAGTAGAAGAAGACAGCAGGAAGTGTTCTAGCTGAAGTAAAATTAGTTTTACAGCTTTACCTGTCTTCCTTGTTGGTGGTGTATGTGAACATTTACGTAACTTTCTAATAATATCTGGCTTTTCCTTTGTGTAAATTCGTTAATTTATTTCTTTAGAACTGAAGTAATTTTACAGATCATATTTACGATAAACAAGATTTTTTGAAGTTAACTTTAACAAAGACTCGTTAAACATCATGACTCTTTTGTCGCTTTAAAGAAATATTACATCTTTAGATAAGATTTATTGTTCCGCGGATTAACACAACTTCAAACTGTTTAGTGATGCTCAGTTTGTTCAGGTTGACGTTCAATTTGTTGATTTCTGTTTTAATGGATTTTAAAAAAAAAGGTACCTCCCTCGTACATAGCTCTCATTCCTGGTTTTCTTTTCGTTTTATTAGCTCCTCACATTTTCATTAGGCTTTCTATTTTCAAAATATCTTGGATTCGAGTATCACTGAAGAAACATTAATTGCATACATGCACATCTGGTGTAGTAAAACTGGCACCCTTTAATGACATAATAACATTTATGTTTATGGTCGAAACTAGACTATAAGTCTTGGGACAGTTTGACCACTACATATTTCTTTTAGTAAACACATGTTCACGAAAGTTCAGGATAAAAACACGTCTATTGCGTTAGGTAGTCTATTATACCTTTGTAAAATAGTGTAAAACTGCAATTTTTTGTGTTTGGGATATTTCTGACTTTTATCTACATATATCTTAAAGTCTTTGTGTATGATGAATATACCTCATGAATGTAATACTTTTATCTACCAGAAATGTCTTCTTTCTGTATGTTGTACATTTACCTATTGAGACAGTTTAACTTCGTATATCATCGTTCGTCCCATCTTCGTATCTGCACCCTAACTTAAGTTTACCTCGTCCAAATTTTAAGAAATACAAACACAAAGTTAAGAAACAAAACTTGCTGACAGAATTTGTTCGAATTTGGGCAATGACTGACTTACTTGCCGTTCTAGAGTTATGCCCTATATAACTTGGAAAATTGCTTATTTTTTCGTTTCAGCACTCTAACTTAAGGTTGCTTGATCCAAATTTTATGAAACTCATACACAATGCCAAGACCAACAACACGCAGACAAGATTGAATTTTGGTAGTGATTCATTTACTGTTCTAGAGTTATCTCCCTTTTAAAATTGAAAAATTGCAATGCTTGGGACATTCGTAAACCGGGAGCTCTGTGTTACAAGGCAGCGAGTTAACCGACTGAGCTAAAGTAGTACTTCCCTAGTTCAACAGCTTACGGCTGGCTAAGTATCTAAAACATATACTAAGAGAAGCAATCCCGTCACAATACAAAGACATATTGGGAAACGTTTATACGTCAAGGAAGCGGTACTTTAAATGTTTTTTCTTGGTTTTACTATCTTGCCTGAAACAACAGTCACTGACATTTACTAGTTTTCGGAATCTTCTTCAATGATGCATATACATTTAAAGGAAATATTCAATCGAGTTTTAATAAGAAAGAAACCAACAAAACGCCACCATAACCAATGCCTTTTGATGTCATTTGAGGTTTAGGACTTGAATTGTCTCCTTAACTTATACTCCACATGTATTGTATTCCTATGCAAATATTATTATATTATCTTCAAAGAGAGGCACAAAATTATATCATCAGGTACAGTTAGTTACCACAACCTGGAAAGATACCAAATGTGCAATCGAAAATAATAAGTTGAAAAGAAACCGACATCATCATAGCAAAAACCGAAAAGAGAAACAAAACTTTACAAACATCATATTAACAGCTGACTAACACGAGCTCCATCTAAAATCGAGGTTGAACTCCGGAAGGGTAATCAAATTTCTCACATATATGCCACAAATATAAGGTTTAAACATTCATAAGCTTGAAGTTCAATCCCTTAATTAACAGGTTGTGAACATCTATGGCTAAAGATGATAATAAGATCATTACTGTAACAATAGGCAAAGAAACCTTTAATAAAGCACCCAACCTGGCATACACAAATATAGATAAGTGTGTCAAATGTTATTTTGTCGAATCACAATAAGCTGTTTACTTAGAGAAAAGAATTGCAAAACCAAGCCAGTTTCATATAATTATTAAAGGGGCATTAGCTGTCAAAATCATGTTCACCGATTTGACTCAAATTCTCATATTCAATTTATAACATACTAAAACGGATATCCAAATTTACAAGAAGTCTGAAATATAAAGTTATCAATGCATGTACTCAATAATATTTATCAGAGTTTCGTGTGTATTTTAGTGTAGACGCCATCTAATTAACTATCGAGATGATCTCCGAAGACTGCCGACGGCCACATAACCCGATATAAACATAAACATAAATATAAATAGATAGCAACCTCGTGCAATTGGATTGTTCTATGTCTGTTTGATTTCATGTTATAGGTTAACAAAATCAGTTAATTATCGTTTTTACTTGTAAAAGAATAATTTTTGTGGATCGAACAAGTCAACAAAACGGCTCACCTTTGTTTCACTTTCAATGTTGACATTCTTTTCCTTTTAATGACTGCACACGACTAAAACATGCGTAACCAATCTCTAGCTAATGGGTTAAATTGAAGATCACATGAATACGGATTCAATGAGATGGAATTATTCACTTGCAAGTTTTTTTGCTTATTTCTGACAAAATTGAACAAAATTGGGTGCTAAAAGCGAAATAGTATTTCGTTATTTCACTTTTATTGATGATTGAAACCAAACTAAATCATATTCTATTTTTTTCATATATCGTAGCTAATGCCCATTTGAGGATCTTGTAACCAGCATGTGTAATTTTCTTTTTCTCTTCCAGAAACAATGAATATGTTGATGCTGGTATTATTTATCAGAAGTGTTCACGTTGTATATTGTCACCGCTGTAAAATCATTGACGGCAGTTTCAAAATAGCTGATTGTCGTAAACTTCATTTAAGGGAAATTCCTCAAAATCTGTCGGAAGACATTGATATTTTGGATCTTGGTGAAAACAACTTTGTTGAAATTTCGAATGAATCCTTCAGCCGTTATAGCAACTTAAAAGTTCTAAAATTAGATACATGCAACATTGAAAGTGTGCAGTCAGAAGCATTTAAAGGTTTGTGGAAGCTTGAAAACTTATCATTAGCTAATAATTCTCTCAATATATCAACCAATGATGGGTTATTTATTTTACGTAACATACCAAACATTATTGACCTCGACTTTAGTTCAAATATGGAATCGGCTGATAAAATGGGACATTTGTTGTATCCAGGAGCGGCATTTCAACACTTGAAAAAGCTTCAAAACTTGACTATAGATTTGTATGGATATCCCGTTTTTGGACCTGAATTCAAGAAATTACCATTGAAGTATATCAAGTTCCAGAGCTGTCATCTTCAAAATTTAAGAAATGACACATTTAAAAATTTTCCAGATACTTTGTCAGAAATACATTTGTCGAAATGTTTTTCTATCAATACTTCTCAAATCGGAGTTAACGCATTGCGACCGTTTAACTCGCTTTCTATTCTTGACATGTCTTGGACTTGTGTTACTCTACCGAAAGGGTTGGAATTATTGTATCCACTAAGAATGAGGACAATGCAAGTGGTAAATCTATCACACATGCTAAATCCAAGAACAAACAGACTACTTTTGCCTCATACCATCATCCTGACAAAGGAAATGATGAAACATTTGAACACAATGTGCGTTCAAATTCTTATCTTAGCTGATAACAACATTGTTGATATTCTTCCTCAGTCATTGTTTGGTTCAGATCATCTCGAATGCCTTGAATATATCGATTTATCAGGCAATCGTTTCGGTTTTTTTTCTATCAAAAACGACCTTCCATTTACTGTCTTTAGACTTTCACGTCTTCGAGTTTTCGATTTTTCATACTTGGCGTTAACATATTTGGATGCAGTTTACATGCCAGCAACAACCAGTGTTGAGCCATATCATCCGCACATCAAATGGAAAAGGAAGCATGACTATTGTGAAGGTGAAACTTCCGTCAATGTAACTTTTCCATCAAAACTAGAAGTATTGCGTATAACCCATGTTTTAGGAGCGCCTCCGCTTCCAAAGTTACTTATTATGAATAATATAACTAGTTTACGGTACTTAGACATGTCTTATTATGATATCAAATGCTTTCCTGATATTTATTTGTACAATCAAGAGATACAGTTGGAATTTTTAGACATCTCAGGAATTGACTGTGAGCTTTACTTTAAGAAGAAAAACCTGCCGTTCTTCCCAGTGCTTAAGGAACTGTACATAAGGGATGCACATTTCTATCGTACTATAGATAAGAACATTAATATATTTACAAATACTCCAAATTTAGAGCGTTTGGATTTACACTCTAACTATATGTTTACTTTTCCATCATCATTCATAAGGCATTTGGACCATCTAACTCACCTACGACTTTCAGAAAATCGTCTGAGTCATATTCCAACTGCTATTACAGATCTGCCAAGACTAAAATCGCTAGATCTGAAAGGGAACCGAATATTTACTCTCTTCCCAGAGTTTACTTCATGGCTTGATGCCCAACAAGTAAAACTTGGATATTTTTCACTCAAGATACAGAAAAATGATTTCTCTTGTTCGTGTGAACACAGAGAATTTGTTCGATGGTTGAATAGTACCATGGTACATTTGGACAATAAGACGTACTATTGTCGATTGAGCAATGGATCCTTCAGTAACACTGACACGGTTTTAATGAATTACCATGCAATTTTCGGTAATTGCGATGCTTTCGTTTGGTTACAAGTTGGTGTCATACTTTTAGTATCTTTCTTTATGGTTCTTCTTCCTACTATAGTAATATACAACTTCCGATGGAGAATCATATTTTTCTGCTACCGGAAGTTTCGAGGAATTGTGGAGAACAGCTTGAAGTTGAATTATGATTATGACGTATTCATTTCTTATGGATACGATGGATATACATGGGTTCTTGAGACTTTAATAGAGCAACTGGAAACAAAATGGGGTTTCCGAGTATGTGTAGAAGACAAGAATTTCATAAGTGGCAGATCGACGTTTGAACAAATAGGTATTGCTATAAACAGAAGTCGCCAAATCATTTTCGTCGTGACCTCCGATTATATGTCTAAACCTTGTGCAGCGTATGAAATAGACCGGACAAAAGAAGCCAGGTCATCACGTTCGCTACAGAATATAATTGTTATTGCCTTAGACATAAACATTGAAGACATACCACGAGAATTACAGGCACTATGGAGTGATGTTGTTGTTATTGAATGGCCTCGACATTCGAATGAAGTTAGTTTGGCTTTAGACAATCTGAAAACCAGACTTCTGCTGAATTTTTGAGACACCTCTGATGAAAATCTTCGTATTTGCTATAAAAGGATAGAATGAGCAATGTTAACTATTTTTTTTACTTTTCATTTGTTATTTTATATAACAAAATAAAAGTGTTAGAATTTAATTCTTTTATCGTATGACAGCTAAACCAGGAGCTGAAAAACAAAAGGAGGATAACTAATACCCTATGAGAACTCTTCCGATAAAGAGCTGCAGCAACTTTTTATAATTGAGTTCAAAGGCTGATAATTTAAGATTGTTGTTACTAGTCATAATGAAAATGTAACCATCATGTACAATTATCTAGCTATCAACCAAGTGCTAGTAAATCAATATTCAAGTTATTATACCCCACACAACAAAGCAAATAAGTATAACGTTTTTGACCCGTCAGTCCGTTTGTTCATAGGTCCAGTTCTTTTCATTGCAACTTCTCTGAAACCATACAACAGAATTTCGGGAAACTTGGTAGATAATTAGAACATATTATGTAGATGTTCATAACAACAATAATTTTTTATCAGTTTACTTTTGTAGGAGTTATGAGCATCTGTATTGTTATCTGCTATATCTGGTAAATTTTCATTACTCAAAAGCATTATTTATCTTCTAAGAAACAATTTCGACATTTAAACGAAATCTTTTACTAACGATACTGGGAAGATGCTTAACTATTTACAGTTTTTGTAGACAAAACCAAGTAAGAAATGACCACCACAAAGGAACATAAATAGAACCATACAAATAGTACATGCATGCAGGTTCTCAGATACCATCTCGCATAATAAAATAAATTCATGCAGAAATGCACCTAATGTGTTCCTCTTTTAATTTTGAGTTTTTGCTGCTATCCAAAATCAAAGTTGTGGAACATATTTTATCAGAATCATTTGGTAATCCATGCAATCTTCTTCTTCTTTACGTAAATCCCTCCAGCGTTGGAGCACACACAGCTAGCTATGTTCCCTTAACGGACCAGTTTTTAAAATGATAATGTATTCACAAAAAAGTTATTCCAAAGTTAAAATGTTGAAAAGAAATCCTCCACCGGAATGTTGCACATGCACAAAATTTATTTACAGGAATGTACATATTATATACATGAAGCACTCATACGTTCACCAAGATGTAGATTAGATATTAAAAGCAGTGTCAAATGTAGCTAAATAAAATCTATGAACGGTCGGCACTGATCTAAATTAGTGTCATCTCCATGAAAGTCTTGAACATTAAAACTAAATATTAAATAAACGACACTACTAATCTTTAGTGTTTGGTACAGGTTGGCTGTCACTGTGCAACACAGTGTAAAATAGAACCTATGGGGAAAAACAGAGAACTGAAAACACTGTCAAACATCCAAATATACTTTCAACACTGATCTGTGTCCACACTTGTAAATCAAGATAAAATACTTTTTAGAGAGAGAAAAAAAAATGTTGAGTAAACATATTTTGAACATACGACTCATTATCTGAATTTAAAACAGATTTACCTGAGATCACTTCCAGTTTTTGGTGTGGTTCGTATTTCTCAATCTTTTGTTTTTATATGTTGTGTTTTGTGTACTGTTGTTTGTCTGTTCGTCTTTTTCTATTTTAGCCACGGCGTGGTCAGTTTATTTTCGACTTAAGTTTGAATGTCCCTTTGGTACCTTTCGCGTCTCTTTTATATGTTAATATATGTATTTCCATTGTTATAGTATATTATTTACAAAATGATAAGTGTCAACGTACAATGATGTATAGATGGCGTGATTTTATATTCTTATTTTAATTTTGCAAATTAATATAGAAAAGGGTTTTATAAATATAATGGCATCTACAATGTTTGTGTGTGTGTGTCTCTCTTTGTCAATTAAAGTTGTTTGTGTTTATGTGCCATGGTCAATACAATTCAGACCTAGCTCCATTTAACATTGCATGAACATTTCTTTATTAATTCGGTGCGACCGTAGTGCATGTTTGTAATAACTTTCACCAGGGACACTCATACCCCCGAAAAGTGAAAGCCAGGAATGTATAAAAACTCTAAACGTGAGGTATATGACCAAAAGGACCTAATCTTAGTTTCTTATGTATGAATAATCCAATGGTTATGGGTGTGCATATCGTAATTGTACCGTCCTGTGGGGAGTGTATAAATGTGTGTCAGATAAATACTTTGTTCGTATGGATCCATAACACTATTTCGTAACGGTATACAATATACTAGCTACATATGTCGGATCGACACAAATATACCCGCTCGCAGCAAAAGCCTGAAGCCATATTTAAAAGGGGATATTTTAGAATGAAAGTCTATATAATGGTTATTTACAGGAAATTTTCAAGATTCTAAAGCCGGTAATTTCGGCTCAAATCAGCGGAGCAGAACTAAACGTAAACTAGCGGAGCAGAACCAAACGTAAACTCAATCTGTAACTCACCATAGTAGACTCACATACTTAAGATCTAATCAATATGTGAATATACGATATTTTCAAAGTCCAAAACCCGTAATTTTGGCAAAAATCAATTGAAGCGGAACAAAACGTAAAGTCGAACTGTAACTAATCAAAGTAGACTCACATACTTAAATCAGCTCAATATGTGAAGGCGTTAAGAAAAAAGAGTCCATATAATTGTTATTTTCATAGCAAAACCAAATGTAAACACGATCGGTAACTCAGCTTTGTAGACTCACCTACTAAAAATCAGCTCAATATGTGAAGGTGTTTAGAAAAAAAGTCCGTATAACTGTTATTTTCACAAAAGTCAAAAGTCCATTTTTTTCGACAAAAATTAGCGGAGCAGAACCAAACGATATTTTCAAAGTCCAAAACCCGTAATTTTGGCAAAAATCACTTGGAGCGGAACAAAACGTAAACTCGATCTGTAACTCACCATAGTAGACTCACACACTAAAAAGCAGCTCAGTGTGTGTATAAGCACAAACAAAACGATAATAATTTTATTTATTAAAGCACAAATTACACCCACAAGAGAGCCAAAGGCATGACAATTACATGTAATAACAACAATATAATGATGACATTAAATGTACATAAAAAATAAAAATAAACCAAAACATTAAACACAACAAATGACCTCAAGTGCCCCCTGTCCTCAGTTCCATAGACTGTTTAATAAAGGAGCCTAAAGATTTCACTTGCTGACTAGTGGTTGGATTTAGTATACATTTCATTTTATTATCAGAAAAATCTTTGTATTGAGTTTTTAAATCATTAAAAAAGACATGTCTTAAATCATCATTTATTTTACATATTAAAAAGAAATGTGATTCATCCTCCAGAACTTTGCACTTATTACAAAGTCGTTGAGGGCGTGGAATATTTTTATATCTTCCAGTTTCAATAGTGAGGGAATGATCACTTATTCTAAATTTGCATATAAGTTTTCTTGTATCAAGATTAGGGTATGTCAAATAAAATTCTTGTTTATATTCAGCTTTTATATGCTTAAACAGAAGAAGTTTGCTATTTTGGTCGAGAGATGATATTTTATTGTCATATATTTCTTTATATCTTTGCTGAAATTCATTTTTATAGAATTTTTTACTGAAATTCTTACAGTCTCCGTTTTTGTTTTTAGTTACATCTTTGGGTTTACTAATATTATTATCGGACCTAATATGATTTACATATGAGTACCATGCGTATATACCTTGATCATGAAGTGATTTAGAAAGAGAGTAACACTCTTTAAGTAAATCAGATGAGTTTTCACTCAAAAGTCGGTCTTCATATAAAAGTGACTGTGTGGCAATGAAACAAAAAAGGGGAAATCTTCCTAATTCAGATCTAGAGGCAATATTACTAGCACATTTCTTAACTCCAAGTGTAAATTTGCAAAACTTATTGTGAATTTTTTCAGGAGGACTCTTATCTATAAAACTGAGTTTATCCAAAGGAGAATTATTTTTTCTGGTTCTAGCAATTGCATTATAGTATGGTTTGTACACATCCATATACCAAATTTCACAATTATATGTAAGAATAGGACGAACCAAAGAATCAAATAAATGAACAGATAAACTTGCAGGTAATTCGTTCAGACCGCTTGTATAGCTTTTAAAAGAATACATAACTTTTAGGGCCTTTTTAGAAAGTGCTTCAGTAGATGACAATAAGTTTCCATTTTGTGAGAGCAAGTTGCCTAAGAACCTAAATTCATTTACTGATTCTAAAACAGTGTGCTTGTAATTAAATTTTGTGTTTTGCGTCTTTTTATGACTATGACCAATAACCATAGTTTTAGTCTTTTTACAATTAACAGTGAGTTGCCATTTATCACAGTAAGAAGAAAATGTATCTAAGCTTTCCTGAAGACCTTCTTTTGATTCTGACATTATTAATAAATCATCTGCAAACATTAAACTTCCAATAACAGAATTTTCGAGAGTTAGCGGTTGACACTCATTTCCTGAGAATAAATTTGGAACATCATTTATATATATGTTAAAAAGGGTAGGGCTTAAAGAATCCCCTTGCCTAACTCCTCGGTTTATATCAAAGTAGTCTGTAAAACAATTGTTAATTTTCAGTGCTGACATTGTCTTAGAATACATACATTTAATCATATTTATCATCTTATGGCCAACTCCTGAAGACAAAAGTTTAAAAAATAAAGCTTTACGCCACTAAGAATCAAAAGCTTTGCGCAAGTCAATGAAGCATGCATAAATTTTTCTCTTACCAATATGTATGTATTTATTTATTAAAGTTTTTAGTACAAACAAACTGTCAGTTGTCCTCATTTTAGGTCGAAAACCAAATTGAAATTTACTGAATTTGCCTTCCATATAAATCATTACCCTCTCATTTAAAACCGCACTAAATATTTTTGCTACACCATTTAAGAGTGAAATACCCCTATAATTATTTGGGTCAAGTGGATCACCACCCTTAAATAAAGGGACTATATATGAGTTAAGCCAAGTTTCTGGATAAAATCCTGATGAAAATATTAAATTAAAAAGTATAGTTACAGACTTAACAATAACAGGACAACTTGTTTTTATTATTTCATTTAATATGAGATCAGGACCACATGATTTACCAACTTTAAGAGACTTAATTACTCGTTTAACCTCTGTTATTGTTATAGGTTTATCAGTAATATT